TGACACCGATCACAGACAAGATGCGAGAGGCGAGGCTCCGATGGTACGGCCATGTTGTCCGTAGCGATAAAAATTCCATCGCAAAGACAGCACAGCAATTGGATTTGGATGGAAACAGGCCAAAAGGAAGACCAAAAAAGCGCTGGATGGACCGAATCAAGGATGATATGAATGCTGTGAATGTTACACCAGAAGACGCCCTTGATAGGAAGAAGTGGAGGAAGGCATGCAAGATAGCGGACCCTGGGGATGTAAATATCGCGGGATATAAACCACTAGGAAGAAGAAGATATTCATATTCATCTTCATATTATTGTTGTTATTATTATTAACTGAACATGTACGCTGGTCTTTCTATCGCTGTGAGGACTGTTAACCTGGACATAACGAGCCGTGAACCTGCCCCACTCCTCTAACTCCAGAAAACAGGTTGGATGCACAGAATAACATGAAAGTTCAAAGAACCAGTTTATTTGTTGTTGGACCTGAGCAGAGCCCAGAACATCAAGCAGATTCTCATCATCATTGTTGGGTCTGCGCTTCAGCAGGCCTGCTAGTTCAGACTTATTCCCGTGAACAAAGCAAGACAACAACTTAACCGGCTTTTATATGCTAGCAAGGGGAGGATCTCAGAGCAGCCCCTCTGCCCTCGGTCTCAGACCACTCCAAAGAACCAGCACCCCCTGCAACTTTTCTTCTCTGACACATAGTTTACACAAACACCCATTGTAACCCCCCGCCCTACGGAGCGTCATAAAACTAAGTGTGTGTGTGTGTGTGTGCGCATGTGGGTGTTTCTGTGTGACTTCCTGCCGATCACAAAGGGTCACAATTTCAACCTAACAATCACCACTGCTCTTCCATATCAACAGTGATGTGGTTAGACCAGTGGTTCTCAAACTTTTTAGATCACTCCCCACATGGTAGGAAGAAACCTATGCAGGGATCTCAAAGAGCAAAACTGCTGTCAGCTCTGTGTAGCCACACCTACTTGGGACCCACTCTGTAAAAGTGTGTGTTTGCTCTGCCCACATAGCCTCATATGTAGCCAGAGCTGAACATGGTGAGTCACCTTTAGTGTGTAAATGTATGCAGTTCAAAGGTTACAGAGAGTGCACTTAGTCTTAACATAGATACATTCATATATTTAGACTTTTTTTATTCTACGCACTTGTGATGATCACATAATCTTCTGCAGCATTACTGCCTTATCAAATTAGAATCATTCATTCATTTGACTGTTTCTTTATAGATCTCAAACATTCCTATGATATTGTC